ATTTTGGGAAGAGAAAAAAAAAAAAAAAAAGCATAAAAGGGGTCGAACAACGATGACAAGTTGGAAGGAGGACAAAAGATAAAGATCTTTTTATACAAAAGGCAATCTGGATCTTAACCAAATTCGTCCACTCTCGTAATTCCGGCAACAAACACGCATTAAAACTTCTGAAAGGTTATTTATTTATTTATTTTTTGATACATCGCTTGAAAATTTTGGCAAGTGGAAAAGTCACATGGCCTATTTTGTAAATTGCCATCAGCGGATTCGATTATCGAAACACGTACCGTACAACGCGTGTACGAAGTTGATCGCCTTATAATCGAATTTGTACGACTTAAAAGCGACCGTGTACATTTTTTCTTTGTAAACTCAATGTATTTAGTTAATTTATTGATTTGATATAAGAAAATGTATCTTTGTTTTAAAACACACTCAAATAAACGACCATTTAAGTATGTCAGATGATTTACTTCTTTAGTAAGTGCTCCAACTTTGAATTGATCTCAAGAAAAAAAAATTCCCTATTTTATTTTCTATTTTTATTCTACAGAAATGCAATTATTCATAAAGATTTATTTTTAAATATTAAGATGGATCGAAATACATAATCAAAAATTGCTATTGATTAGCATATAATATTGATGGATTGCAAGAATTCAAGGAAGTTTGAAGTTATATATATATATATATGGCTATTTAATAAAGAAACCTGTCCACATTTCCTCACATCATTTATAATATCTTAAATATAATTAACTCCTGTAAATCTACATTAATAGCAAAGTTAATAAGGTTTTAAGATTCATAACTTGTAGCCCATTATAAAAATAAAACTAAGTCATTTTAATGGAATTTTAAGTGGTTTTATTTTATCTTATTTAATTAAAAAAATTAAGATTTTATTTCATATGGTGTGACGAGTTTAATTATATTTCTACTATGTTATAATTGTTTAAAAGTTTAAAAAAAAAGGGGGGAAGGAAAAATTGAACTTAATCCAATAAAGTTTTATAAATACTTTAAAAAAATAAATAATAAACAAATTTAAAAATAATGGATTTTAAAATGTTTCTTATTTTCTTTTTTTATATGTTTCGCATATAAAAATTATATAATCTTATGTTTTAAATGTTAAAAACTGTATAATTTTTACAAAATTCTTAAATTTTTAATAATTTTTTATAGGCTTTTATGATGATTTTTTAAGATTTTTTATTATTTGTTCCATTAAAATGAATTTTTCTTAAGTAGAAAGAAAATAAAGTAGATTTTAAGTAAAGGAATTGGTGCAAAATATAAAATAGCAACTAAAATCATATATATTGTAAATTTTATTTGGAATCAACCCAGGTTTTCCTGTTTGCCAAGATATGAAATGAGATTAAAGTCATAATTTTCACAGTATTTATTACTGTAATAATAATCAGATATTTTAAATCAAATTAAACATATTAGTTAAATAGATTAAGACGACATTTCTGAGTTAGTTGGTGTTAATCTAATAATGAGACAATTCTGTTACTCAAATGACGTTTTACGCTTTTTTCCCCCCTCCGTTTATGAATTGTTCGGAATTTTATCGTACAGTGATATGGATATTAACATTAAGATTTTATTAGTTGTCTTTGATATTTTTCATTGGCCTTCGTTATCCACTTACTTATTGTTTCTGCTTCGAACTGTCTCGCCAGTATGACGGATTGTGGATCCGCTGGATTTTTTCCTCTGAAATGAAAAGATATAATGTACTAAAGTACAGTTTTAAAATTATATCAACAGTAAAATAATTTTATTTTAAACAGTTTCTAATATCTGGGAGATGTAATGCTTATCTTTCGGTGAGAAAAGTGACGATAGATACGTGTTTACGAAGTCACGTAACCATTGATTCTAACTATTTTTGAATAAAATATTCTAAGATATAACCTGGAGTATCTCCAGGATGCATTGAATTTAAATCATTTAGCAATTTATAATCCCTAATATAACAAGAAAAGATTTTATACTTATTGCCGACAATAAACTGTTAAATGGTTTGAAAATTCCATGACTGAATAAATTGAGCATTAAGAAATATCTAATTTTGATATATAAAAGTTAAACTTTTGAATATTTCATACGTAAAAATTTTTTTTACTTTGTAAGATACACTTCTGCCTCTGTTCAAACCAATTTTCAAAGCAGTCTTGTAAGCTACTTTTTACGAACTTGCGCTGTGGTTTCCACTTCTACTGCAATCTTTCAACTCCTCTTTCATTTTACGGAATAAATCAAGTATTTGGGACAAGATAAAGGGATAAAGGAGTTGAGGAGTTCATCTATTCATTAACTCAGAACAATCAAAGGAAGCTGAATGCAGAAATTTGATAACAAACTCCTTTTTAAACACATCACAATTTTCAAGACTACTTTGACAAGAGGTATGGACAGTGGCAGATATGTGTAGCTGCAACCATTGATTATTTTGGAAGTAGTAGATATTTGTATTATTAACATAATAAAAGTTATATTAATATTTCGATTTATTTTTGACTCTACTATTTATCTACATCATAATGCATTTTCGGGTAATGTATATTTGTTAAATTTAGATAAAGTATGAAAAAGTTTTAAAATAAAACCTAGTTAATTTTTTCTTTCAATAAAATAGATTCATCAATTATACACAAGAGATTTACAAGTTCAATTACATAAAAAGTATATATTCTCTCTCCATTTTCAGATTTAGAAAAAGTGAATTTTTCAAATTTCGTATTGGTATGAGAGTATTTTGCACCAGTTTATGCTGCAGAAGGAAATTTAGACAACAATTAATAGTTTGAAGTCTAAACACAAATTTTAAATCAACCTTANTGCTATAATCAGTTAATATTACTTATAATAACAGCTAAACTACAAGAAAATTAATCTTTTTTAATGAAACTAATGATTAAAATTTTAATTTAAATATTTCAAACTGTAAATAAAACTCTTATTATGGTTTCATATCATGTATAACATAATTCTAAATCTTCTCACAGCTGGTTATATAGTAAATAATACCAATAAACCTTTATAATTAAACCAGCAAATATATATATATATATATTTTTTAATATACTTTACGAGTGTTTTTGATCCTAATTGGGATTTGCTTCAGGTCAAAACATTCTATACAAAACTTTGGAATGCTTAAAGTTGTAATAACGTTATGTATAACGTATAAATGTCGAGTAAGTAAACTTTGAAAACAATTTTTTTATCATAGAAAATGATTGAGAATAAAATCTGAAGACCACATTCATCAATTTTACACAATAACGGAAAAAAATACACATCATTTCAGTAACTGAGTGAATGACATTAAGTACTTGTTTATAGAAACTAAAATAATTCCAAAAAATTGATATTGATGTAGAAAAGCTTCAAAAAATAGATGAAATTTATAAAATTATCCAAAAGGATTTCAGATCAATCTAAAACTGGAAATGCAATCATTAAGAATATGAGCTAATAAGAGAGAATTTTTTGATTTATAGTTGTATTTAATTATCTAAATTATTTATTTTCAAATTTCTTTCAGCTATTTTGAATTTTGGAGGTTGAGTCGTGTTAAATCTCAACATTTCCCAATTCAAGCTTAATATGCATAATTTAATAGTAAGATTTGAATAATGATTGGCACTGCATCTCACTAATTTAATACTTTAATTACATTTATAAGTAGAAAATTACTGTATATAGAGTTTATTCTTATAAACAGGTGTTGGTAGAGACGTAGAGACACAAATTAAACTAAACTTTATTTCTTGTAAACAAGTGCAGTATGAAAATTAGCAATGTATCAAAGAAAATTTTCAAATTCATGCAGCAAACTAGACTTTATTTTGCTGGTAGATGTGTGGACGTTGTATTGTAAGTCATTAGCTTTGAATTCAGCGTTTTTCTTTTGCTATGTTATTTTTCCTAAAAATCAGGTACCTTGACGGGAGGTGCGTCGGACTGCTGAGCATGTCAGATTAAAAAACGTCGGACTATCAAGGGAGAGTTGTACTTATAAGTAATTTTTACCTTAGATCCAAGTACTTATAAGTAATTTTTACCTTAGATCCAAGTACTTATAAGTAATTTTTACCTTAGATCCAAGTACTTAGAAGTAATTTTTACCTTAGATCCAAATGATGAGCACCTCCTTTAATCAGTATTGAAATTATTCTGTCCGATACATTATACTGTATCTGCACGAAAAAAAATTTTCATCTTACTAATATCACATGGAAATTAAACAAAAGAATATTTTAAAATAAGAAAAAACTTACTCCACCAGGAGCCCATGGATCCAAATTTCCATTACTAAAAATTATATTGCTTGTCTGGTTGATTTCTAAATAAATAATTGTTATTTTTATAATTTTAACTAAGAATATTTTTAAAAGCAATCAAGATATATTCAATTTATACCTTTTCCCCATATGTGCTCTTTTAACCAGTTTTCTCTAGGAATAATTTTATATTTTTTAAAACAATATTCATCTCTCATAGTAGAATTAAATGGAAGATATGGGAACATATATTCACGTTTTTCAGATTTCATATATAAATTTATTTCTGTACAACTCTAAAATGGAGAAAACTATTGAGTAATGAATAAATGTATTTAAAATCCATAATTTTATGATTCCAAATTCTTACTTGATAGTCCCAAGAGATGCTATCTGTTCCTAAACCACAACCAGTTGGATCTGCACAGTCAATAAATTCTTTCCAAATGTCAAAACACTTCTCTGTTCCCGAAGCATTATAAGCAAGAGCAATGGCAGCAGCAAGTCCTGCAGCAGGAATGCCAGAAGACACTAGTCTAGTACACATGACCTGTGGGTATTTAACAATGAAAATTTTTAGATAAATAACAGAAAATTTACCTGAAATGTGGAAAATTTTCTGCTATTTAGAATACACCAACCAATTTACATTTCATAATTTAAATACAAATTCACATTAAATAGAAACAATTTCTTGTTTATATTGATAACAATTCTATTGCTATAACAGATTGGAACATTGATGATTGAATAGCAAAATGTAGTGAAGGTATTAGTCTATTGTTCTGGTAAACTGGGTTTGAGTCTAAGTTACATCATAGATAGGTCAAACACAAAATATCAGGCCCCATCTCTCACCTCACCTTGGGCTTGACCAAATCCAGGATAGACATAGAGAAGATTCATTTAATGTATTGGACAAAATGTATTGGACAAAATGTATTAAAATTTTAATACAGTAGACTGCTCTATACTTTTGTTATCAGAAAAATAACATTAGAGATAAATTATACATATAAATATATGCAAACACTGAGACAATCAGTAAGTAATATTAAAATTATCATCACACTCGCAAACTATTGTTACATTTAGTAACATCACACATGATGAAAATATTGAAAAATCTAGTTTGATAAAGTTCTAATAAATACAGACAAAATTTAATATTGTGATTCACATGATACTAATTTGCAAATCCACAGATTTATGACATACATATAAAATTTCAAACACTACAGGACAGGGAGATGAGAGATCATGAACTAAAAGAGATTCAAATGTGCAAGATGAATTTTCTCTTGATCTGTGATCTATGATATTTGATTTTCACAAAACCAAAATCAAGCACTGGAAGCAGGGCTGTGGAGTTGGAGTCGGAGTTGTGGAGTTTTGGTGTTTTAGTCGGAGTCGGAGTCAGATGGTAAGGAAGAGTCGGAGTCGGTAGATTTTTATACGACTCTACAGCCCTGACTGGAAGGACCATTTACTCAACAATTCTGTAGAACTTCCATAGTGTCTACTTATCATTATGTATGTACTAAATTACCCAAGTCAAAAATTTTATCAATGATATTTTGCTAAAATTACTCAAATAAATCAGCAAAACTGATAAATTCTTTTATGTTTACTAGATTAAACACTAGCTGACTTAATCAATGCATCTTTAACAGTGAAAAAGTTTACAGTGCACTAATGTTTTCAATACTGGGAATGGGGCCTGACATTATCCAAATCAACCTACTTGTAAAGTTGAGCTTCACCCGATATTAGTCATGTTCATTTAATATCTAATGTTATTGTTTATAAAAATAATTTAAGTCCCCGAAGATGAGCAAAAAAGAGTATTAGTGTTTTAAATATTTAAAAATTCATTTTGATAAAAAAAAATTATTTTTAATATTTATCTCTTATGTATGAGTGAATTATGCATACAAATATTAAATTCTAACTTTACTCCATACTTTATTAAGAGTTAGGTTCAATCAGAAATGTTCTTTTTCAGAGCTCTACTTTTGATTTAATCATCTAAACTATTTAATTATAATAAAACAACAATTATCTATCTTTAGTAATCAATTATTTTAATAATTAAGTAAATTTTATATTAATTAGTAACAAAATGATAAAATTACAATTATTAATGTATGACTTCAAGTTTTATATAATTTTTTTATTCTTGTTTATGCATTTTTATAATTTACCTTCACTGGAAAAGCAGGAAAAGGGCTCATGAAACTTGTTTTGTAAGGATAGTTCATCATTGCTGCTGAAGCAAATGCATTGCGTGTCCATTTTAAAAAATGATTGTAGTCTGTGGAATCTTTTATTTCTTTGCACAGAGAAAAAGTAGATGATATGTATTTATAACCTGAGAAAAAAAAAACAATTTTAACATTTAAAATTTTTTCAACTATTTGTGTAAAATTATACAAACAAAACTTATTGTACAATTGTTAAAATCTTTCTTATTCTGTTTTATTGGAGCTAAATTTGAGAAAAACAGAATGGCTGGTATCAAGAGCGTATACGTTTAAAGAATATTTATAATTAGATTTAGAAAGATCAAAAGTATAAATTATATTTTAAAAAGTTTGCAAATGTTTATATCAGGGCTTCTTAAACTACGGATCGCGACCCCATTTGGGGTCGCTTAGCGAAATCTTGGAGTCGCGAGATTTTAATGCAAAGTTGATTTCTAAATAAATAATTGTTATTTTTATAATTTTAACTAAGAATATTTTTAAAAGCAATCAAGATATATTCAATTTATACCTTTTCCCCATATGTGCTCTTTTAACCAGTTTTCTCTAGGAATAATTTTATATTTTTTAAAACAATATTCATCTCTCATAGTAGAATTAAATGGAAGATATGGGAACATATATTCACGTTTTTCAGATTTCATATATAAATTTATTTCTGTACAACTCTAAAATGGAGAAAACTATTGAGTAATGAATAAATGTATTTAAAATCCATAATTTTATGATTCCAAATTCTTACTTGATAGTCCCAAGAGATGCTATCTGTTCCTAAACCACAACCAGTTGGATCTGCACAGTCAATAAATTCTTTCCAAATGTCANAAAGACCCGGAAATTCTGATGTCATCACGTGACCTCAGAATAAAAGGTTCAATAAATAGAGTTCTAATAAAGATAGAACGTAGAAACTTTTTATTCCAATGCTAAAAGACTCCTCTAAGTAATGAACAGTCAATATATAAATATGTATTCGATAATTTTTACTTTTCCGACTGTTATATATAACAGAGGGAAAGTGTAATGCTCAGTAAAAAAAATGATCCCTCCCAAATTTTTACATTTTTGGACTCAGGACATTTTGCAATTTTGAGATATGAAAAAGATTCGAGGTTTTTTTCTATATGTGTGGATGTTAAACTTGTGTATGGGGGCATAATTTTGTTCACTCTGTTTGAAGCCTAATAATTTCTGTGGTCAGAGTGGTTAGAATCAAAGTCAGATGGTTTAATTAACACAGGAGTTAGTTATTAAGCGTCAGAGTGTTGGAGCTAAATCATGTCCCCATACACATTCTAACATCTTAGGCGAGAACATCTTAACGGGTTTTACTATACTATTATAAAATGACAAAAAAGGTTACTTTGAGGGTAGAGACGAGTTTTACTTTTTATTTTTTAAATTTTGAACGCTAGTAACAAGTAAAATATTCATTAAGACATATGACACATGATCCCTTTTATGTCTTCACCCTGTCGACCTTTAATTAAGGACCAAAATTTAATAGTATTAATGCCCCTTTATACGCAAGCCACAGCACCACATTTCGTTTCGTAAACTTTACCCGTTTACGAAATGTTTAATATCTCAGAACAAAAAGTAAAGAAATTAAACAAATTAGACGCCAACACACACACACGCGTGCGAATTTTTCCTCTTTTATTGACTTTTTTGGGGGGTTCGGGAGGTCTACAAACGTGTAGATTTGCAAAAGAAACATGGAGGGTCAAATTTGACAAGATTTCAATACTTTTCTGTTGTATATACATAACAAGTTGGGAAGTAAAAAGAAGTCGGAGTCGGCGGATTTTTTGACAACTTTGACTTCACAGCCTTGTTATATATCTTTATTTTGTTTTTGGGTCGTGAAAAAAATCACAATCATAAATGGGGTCGTGAATAAAAAAAGTTTAAGAAGCCCTGGTTTATATGATAAACTTTTTATCATATAATTTGTTTCAAATATGATGTAACATTAGATTGTCTTTCATGAGAATAGCATTAGCTCGAAAGATTATGAATTAGAAAGTATTTGATTTATGTTTTGTAAAGTTTCTTTGATCATTTCTATTTCTGATAATGGGCCGAAAGGTTTAACAGTATTTGAGAATTAAGGAAGCTGTTTTATAGCAAAGTCTCCAATATAGCAGAAAACAGTGGAAAATACATAACAATTGAAATAATTTATAAACTAAATTTTATAATAAAACAATTAACACAAATTAATACAGAAAGATATTGTTTGTTTCCTAATATTGAATATACAATATTTGTTTCACTGTTTTTGTATTATAAAGATTGTGCAATGATGATTCACCATAATGTTTACAATAGGGTTTCTCATTTCCCGGTATTTTGCTTGTCCCGGGATCCCGGGATAAAAGTGAACTGTTTCCCGGGATCCCGGGAAATCCCAAGATAGAATTAATTATTTTTAAGGTATACAAAATATCTTGAAATCAAATGATATAATTATTTTCCATTTTTTAAAGTAATTTTAAAGTTTTGTAACCTCCAAAATCATATTAATAATGCTGTGTTAGGTCTATAGGCCTATAATAAAAATTACCTTTAAATAACGTAGAAATTTTCACAAATAGAAAAAAATTAATTAAAGTTTGCTGGAAACTGCATACAACAACAACAAAAAAAATGTTTTGAATTGAGTTAAAAATTAAAAAAATGAACTTCTAATTTAGAAGGTAATTTTCGTTTTTTAAATAAAATATAATACAAAATATTGCAAACTTTTATAAGATTTTAAAAAGCAAAGATGGTCAATACTCCGATAACTCACTCTAATTCTTATTTTAGTAATGAAAAGTCTTGCCACCGAGAATGCCCTTTCCGATTCAATTGATGTGATTGGAATAGTGTTTAATGCATTTAAGAGAAGACAGATATTATGTGTTTTTTCACCTGTAGCCTGGAAGCTTTCGAGTTCGTTTTCGAGATTGTAGTACTTCTTTCGCTCTCTAGTATTCTTGATTTGTCTACCTTGGCTGCTTTAATAGCGGCATCAAGCTTAGAGCTCGATAATTCGGCAATTCATTTGGCTTTAATAATCAGGTTTATGAAGAAAAACTTCATACTTGCAGACTTTGTACTCGTTTGTATCCTTGCCCAATTTGCACAATCTGGCGTCAGGCATTTATTGAAGCTACTGGGCATGGTTAAAACTCAAGACAGCGTAAGCACAATTATTCCAGATATTACAGGTTCCGACAAGTAAAGAATTTTTATAGTCATGCCACAAATAAGCTATATATTGATTATTGACCATTTGTGACATGCTATAACGAGCAAAAATTTAAAAAAACTAATAGGTAGGTTTAAAATTAATAAATACAAATGTATTCTGGCAGTGAATGAGTTAATTATGCTTTCTATTTGCAAAACTCCTCAACCTTAACACAAAATAAGAAAAAAAGTGAATTTTTAAGAAATTTGCGGGATTTCCCGGGATAAGAAAAATTTCCCGGGATATTTCCCGGGTTAAAAAAACAACCGGGATCCTGGGATCCCGGAATCCCGTTTCAGAAACCCTAGTTTACAACTTACAAGTTCAGAAAATGGTAAACTAAATCATTAGAATATAAATTCCGATGTTTATTGCTTTATATCCAATTGTAATACTTATAAATAATTGACAGTTAAATTACTTATTCATTTTTTATAATACAAATTTTGTTATATATATAATGTTACGTATGGAAATACACCCAAACATGATACATATAGAACATGCACTGACATATAAATAGTTGCATTCAGCAGATTCAATAATCCTAATTGAGCTATGATTACTATAACCACTATTTAATAATATTGGATCTACTAATTAATGAATTATAGTTAAAACAAGTAGTTGCTGATGCAATAGTGGCTTTTACTCATGTGTGAATTAAACAGATAGATGTAGACAACATATCTTTTAATATAAAAATTGATGAGAATTATGGCCTTATTGTACACTTTTGCCATAAGCTATCATACGTAGGATCCACATTTCAGTTATTGTCTATGAATAGATTATGCTTGTAGTTGATTTAAACAGCAGGCATAGGTCTAAAGGAGTTTTGGGCTGAAAAGATTAAGTCAATTTGGCTGAAATATTGCCTGAGTAAAAATACAAGATTAGTCTACATCTGATGATGAATTTCCTGTCACATAGCTAATGGAAAAATCATTAATGGGTATTTACAATCACAGATGAAAAGAAATATTTATAGTTGACATAAATGATGTATTTGCCAAGATGCCACCACAAATACCTGTAGTGACCAGTGTCAGTAACCTTTTTTATTTAATGTCTCTTTTGATGGATATGGCAATGTTGGCTAATATTAAAATATTTTATTAACAGGTGTAGCTTTTGCATTAAAGTAAAAAGTGGATATTAAGTATTCAAAATTTTTGTATTGTAAAGTGATTATCACTCTTTCGGTTCTCAAATCATTTTGTAATCATTTGAATACAAGATGGTAATTTTAAACTTTTAACAAAATGCGTGTGATGTTCGAATGTTCTTTGGCCTGAAATCTTTACTTCTGAATATGGAACACAGTTGTTCAATGGTGTATCATCAAATACTCTATATACCAATATATGAAACTCCCCTCAACATCAAAGACAGCCGATGTGAATACCTGCCCTGCCATCTAACAATATAGAGTAGTGTGGTGGTTTTTTTCCTTCTCAACATATTAATGTTATATTTAATATATTAATCTGTAATGCATCTAAACTATGCATGTAAAATAAACATGATACATGATTCTTGTTCATTCATCTATATAACACTTTTTTTGGTGTTTTAATTTTGTTTCCTGGCAACTTTGTTTTGTAACAGTTCATTTGCAGTTTTTACTTGCCATTAGTAAGTGCACATATATATTTTGTTGCAAATGTCATTACACATTAGTCACAAACTTCTACATGCTTCAAATCACACACATATTGTAGTAGCCATGCCCTGACATTTTGTTTACCCTGAAAATCTCCAAGATCACCAAAAGGTTCATGGGACTGCAAATTCTCTCTGCATTGTGCAAGGGACACTCTGCCAGCAGCCCAACCAGCAACATAGGACTCCTTGTTCTTTGATCATCCAAGAATAATTCTCAAAGATTTCAATGGATTCTTCTTTTCCTGCTGCTGGTGACTTTGAGTTCACTATCAGACATGACTTTATCCATTCCATCTGATCATTGCATGCCATAAAGTTATCAAGATCCCTCTCACAGTTGTCTGCATGTGATGGCTGCAACAAGTGATTCATCATGATGGTTTGCACGACAGTCCAAAATACACATGTATCAGGGTTGTAATTGTTACCATTTGTAGGGCAAACAACAGAAAACAAGTTCTCTATGCAGTCCTGAGTAAGTCATCTCATTAGGAGATATTTCAAATAATATTTTTTTCCTCTAATTCTCTCCACAATAAGTGTATGACACTCATGTTCTCCAGCCACCAATGGGTTTCTCTGCTTGCTGTTCAAAACTTACAAGTCCTTCAAAAAATTATGTCAATTCATTTACAGGGTGGTAAATGAATTCATTTACAGGGTGGTAAAACATCTCTGAAATTTAAATTGAAAAGAAGCACACAAAATGTTATATTCCTCGTAAACCACAAAAGAAAAGCACATGGCCCAGAGATTGTGCTAAATCAAGCTGAAAGATGGCTTTTCAGCACTAAGTGGGAGGACTTTCATGTACTGGTTTATACAGTATTTGGTGACATCCTATTCCATGATTGGATAATTTCAAAAGTTAATTTTTTCTGAGAAACTTAATTTTAACATTGACAAGATAGCTTCAAAAGTTTGGCAATAAACAGTATTGTGACAGTGTATAATCAAATTTGTTCTCTGTAACCTGAATTCATAGTAAATAATTGTAAACTGAAAAGTGTCGAAACATACAATTGTCAAAGTCATGATACTGAATTTAGTTTTAATAATCTATTATTTATACTATATTATACTAAAACAAAAAGAACCTTTAGATCCTTCAGCAAACCATTTCTCTATCTGTGAATATGCATTTATAACTGTGTCTTTGCACTTTGGCATTGTATTATCGAAAGTCTGGAAATAAATTCAATAATAACCATTAGAGAAAAATAATCGGATATCAATAAATTGCATTCACTTTAAATATAGTAAATTACAAGTAATTTAAAGGTTAAAGATTCTTCTTGAAATATCTTTTGGCCTTTAAATAATTAAGTACAATAAATTATATTTAATTATTAACATTCAAATAATTAAAAGGTTATAATTTTATTAAACTCTATGAATAACTTTGTTTCTTTCAAAAAATAACTATATTTTTGTTTTGAAAAATCTTAGGTCACATTTTAATGTAGAGTTAAAATTTTATATACAGTACCTTTGTTATGGATTCAAAAAATACTTCTGTTCCAAGATATCCAGCAGTTAATATAATTGGAGCACTTGCTGCAAGAGCACCGTCGACAACATTTGGATATTTAAATCTGATGTATGCACTTAGCATTCCACCATAACTAACAGAAATATTTATTTAAGAGATTTTATCTGTTTTTATAATTTATATATATATAAATGTTTATTACCTTCCTCCAAAAGCAATTACCGGACACGATTCTGCTTTATAATCTTTCTTAATAGCATGAATCAAAGTTACATAATCAATCAGAGCTTGTTCTATGGATAAAAGACTGATATTTGGTTGATTGAAGCTATTTTTTCCAAATGGAAGCGATTCTCCATAATATCTCTAACAAAAATAATAATAATAATATAATTTATTGACAATAAAATAAAATTACATAAATCAGCAGTTTAATATATATTTTTATTTATGAATTAATTATTAATTCATAAATAAAAATAAACTGAATAATAATAATAACTGTAATAAACTGAAAATAAATTATTATTTTCAGTTTATTACAATTAAACATGTATACAAAACAGTTAATTTCAGTTTAAAATGTTAAAGTATATCGATATGTTTATGTATTTGTTTGTATAAATATTTTTACAAACAAATACAAAAACAAAAAATATTATAAATATGTGGGGGACCCAAAAAAACAGATTTTTTTCTCTACAAACTTTATTTATTAATGTTACAAAATTCCTTCAGTCACCTTCAAAGTACTCTCCATTAGATGCAATTCACTTGTCAAGTCTTTTCCCCACTGTTTGAAGCATCTCTGGAATTCTTCAATCTTGATATTGTCCAGTGCCCATAGGGAAGCTGTTTTTACCACCTCCACATCATCAAAACGCTTCCCTTTTAGATTTTTCTTCATTCTTGGAAACAGAAAAAAGTCATACAGGGCTAAGTCTGATGAATACGAAAGGTGGGGAACGACAGGTCATCCGCGAGAGACCAAACAGTGGATCACACGTAAGGCCATGTGCGCGGGGGCGTTGTCATGATGAAGGAACCAGTCACCTGATCGCCAAAGTTCTGGGCGTTTCCTTCACACATCCTATCTCAGACATCTTAAAACTTTTTTGGAGGATTTTTTCAATGTTTTCATCTTTTCAAGATGTTAAAGGACGCCCAGAACTTCGCAGGTGGAACAAAATAACAGTAAGAAAAACACAACACTACACTCAAATGTAAACCTACAAACTGACGCTGTCTGCACAGCTGTTTCGTGAAGGTCTCTACTAACCCCATCTAATGGGAGAACTCTACTATGTCTACAAATGGCAGCGCGCTCTCAGTTTGGTTTTTTTTTTTTTGGTCCCCCTCGTATTTTAAATTTTGCAATACCAAATGATCTGCCAGATTTTTACTGGACTATATTATTGCTAATTAATATATCCTGATAGAAAGCCAGCAAATTGTTTGCTATTTATCTACTATAATTATAGTAATTGTCTGCACTATATATTATGAACACTTGTAGCATTGTTTTTGTTTAAAATTAATTAATAAATAATTGCATCAACAGAGTTTAAATTTATTGTTAAAATACTTTAATCAATACAGTTTTGCTTTCACTATTGTTTAATAATTTAACGAATCACATATATCATATTAAAAAATATTATCTCATGCAATGTAAACAAAAATTCTGTTCTTTTCAATGAACTTTATTTTATAAATCAGAATATGCTCTTTACAAAAATATTAATAAAAATAATTAAATTTTTAATTAATTTCTAATTCTGCTTTATATCAAAATAATTTACATCAGTTACTATTTTAAATATATTCATTATCAAGAAACTTATGCACCAGTTTGAGAAATTAAACATTTATATAAGTCAGCTTTCTCCCTATATTGGTTGTAGCAGAGCAAATTTCATTATTGTACAACCCATGCATTTGTAAGAGGTGTCTCCCTGCATTACAATTGCACTCAGCTCTGTAAAATATGAAGCATGCAGTGGTTGCTAGATATAAGTTGACTATTCATTAAAATAAATTAATTACTGATACTATTTATATGTCACATTTCTTATATTTGAATATAACTTTTCTTTAGAAAAAAATTATTTTATTTTGTAAATAAACACTCACGTGTTCTGCAAATATAACAAGAGCCTTAAATTTGGGTGCAATATCGAAAATAAAGCCAGAATTTTCCCAAAATGCTTCGATGTTTCCTTCATTTCCGGTGTAGAAGAATATCGGTCCTTTATGCGGAAGCCACCAACTGTCTAAAAAAATCAAAAATACTGGTAGTTAATGGATGTTGCAAGGTACAATTACACCTCCAAACGAGACGGTCAGAACTTTACCAGAGCCGTAGACCATACCCGTAGGAGCAAGACAATCAAAGGAACAATACCTCTGCACATAACCATTCGTGAGATACGGCCTACTTCCAGGTTGCACGCGAAGCACGGAGAATAGGCAGTAGTAGTACCGGTACACATTAAAAATGATTTTTCGAGGAGAATATCTTGCAAAGGGTTGTACGTACAGGTACAGTTCCTTTGACTTTTTTACTCGTACAGGAGTTTTACAATTCTGGAGTTGAGAAACACCTCATTCAGAGTTCATATCTTACCTATTGCAAAGGATTATTTTACTAACGAACTTACCATTAACCAAATATCTTTGTTTAAAAGTTTCATTTCCGTAACTAAAAAAATTGAAGTGATCTATGTATTGATTAAAGTATTTAACTTGGTAATTAATGCCTGAAACATTTTTAAAACATATTAAAAATGAACTAAATAGGAGTAAAAACAACATGATGCTTTCTCTTCCATACACTTTAAACTTTAATCATGTGATATATCTCGACGACAAACGAGTTCAAACATTGTTGTGTCGATTTCATGCCATGTGACTTTTATCTGTCACGAGTCAGCTGAATGAAAGAAATTTTTGTTATTTACTGTAAATATCAGGGAAAAAACGAAACTTTTGCAGGGAAATTTCTTTAAATATGTGACTTTTAATATTTTAATTATTTAATTATAATAAAATTTAAATATAAAACCTGTTTCTATTTTTAATATTTATATTTTATTATTTTATATCATAAATATATAATAAATTTAAGAGATAAAAATAAACTTTAGGGATTTTTACCTAGATAGGGATTTAATGGAGTATGTTGTCACATGGACGATGACATGTGCTCTCCTTTAGGCAAAGAGAAACAGAAGTTTTTATCAAGTGATAAAAGTAGGAAAGGATCCGTAGATAAGAATATTGTCGACTTAATAGATTATATCAACGATCGGGCCGAATATTGTACCACAAGTTCTTGTTCTGGTCGCATTGTCGTTTATCAGCAACCAGAAGTACGTATTTATTCCTATTTTCTGTCAATAAATTTAATTTGAGTCACCAAATTCCTGATAATATGGCATTAAATAATGTACAATGTACCTTTCAGGTCAAGGGACTTTATGTTTTTATCCACCGCTTGTACAACCAAACAGCACTATAGAATTATTTATGTGAAATGTTTCATTATTTTTAAGTGTTACCAATAGTCATTTTTTATTTTTATATTCATTTGTAACTTATTGCAGTTAATGAAGCTTTCATACCTTAATTTTTGCAAAATTTAAAGCAGCAATTTCCAAAGATATGTTGTCTTTGGACCACTTAAACTAAGATATATCGCAGACCATTCTATCCCCCTGTCCATTTCTTACCTTAAGTACATTCCAAAATATTCTGTCTAACCAGTAACACAATGAAAGAGATTAGGTGTACATAAAAATAATCTCTTTCATGGCTAAACAACATAGATTTTCATTTTAGAAAAATGTCTAGATCAGTCCACCAACTACCAGTGGTATATGGTGGCATACTTTGAGAACGACTGGGTTGAATGATTAAAAATCTGGCTTGATAATGTACTTGAATATGAATGTTAACACAATCCCAGTTACGGTATAACCTAATTAATCTTCGAGTAAGAGATTACCTTTAAAATCGACAGTTATTGTGACTGAAGTGATTTTAATCTGTAAAATAATAAATGAAAAGCAATGATTTAGTAAAAAATCCTGCTGTCAATATAAAATGAATTTGTTAAATTTTTTTATTTTGCTTATTTATTACTTAAAATCTAGTAGAAGAAAAAAGTATTTGGATTCTTTTATATTTGTACAAGTCTGTCATATTTAAAGTTAAGATTCTTGAGTTAAAATGAAAAGATTACTGATAATTATATTCTGCATCTGTAGAATTCTGATGGGCAAGTCAAGAAAGGATGTCATTGGTTATTTGTATCACACGATCAAGTTAACGTAAATGATGTGGTAAGTACTTTTTTAAACTTAATAAAATAGTAAGGTGAGAATTAAATTAATATTTGTATTATTGAGATTTTATATTTTCATTATTTTCAGCTGGAATCTCTTAAAGATCACAAAGATTCTTCGGTGTTTAAATTTGAGCCATTTATTTTGCATGTTAGATGTATTTCACTCGAAGCTGCAAAGAAATTGGTAAGAAACAAATCTTTTTTCTTTTTAATTTTATTTAAATATGGCTAGATGACTACAATAAAATCTTAGCCTTCAGGAGAAAACAAATGGTTATACTGCATTGATTTTTGAGTCTCCCTGAATCAGATTAAGCTGATTTTTTAAACTAGAAATTGATTCCCTATTATTTATTGTAAATAAGCTGTATTAAATAGATGCCTGCTTTAAAATTGATTCATCAAAGGATAAAATCTTTGATAGATTCTCAACAATAAAGTTCACTGTATAGTATATATCAGGGGTGTCCAACCCGCGGCCCGCGGGCCGCATGCGGCCCAATAAATGTGTAACACAAATGTTTTAATTTTTTATTATTTATTTATTTCAACGGCATGAACTCAAAAAAAGTTTCACAAAGCCGTAAACCTTTATTCATATTTTATTTTTGAGTGGAAAGAAAATATTTTCAAATACGGAGATGTGTGAATGCAGAAGGATTACTAAATAAAGCTGGAGTTGTGACTCAAAGGATTATAGACCCAAATTTGGAGAAAGGAGGGAAAGATGAGAAAGGACAAAAGATGTAGTAGTGAGAAAGGTTAAATAGATATTCTGTTCAGCAAATATGGACTCGTAATTTTTCAACCTTTTATAATTCTTTATTTTTTGTCCTTTGCCTCTTTATCCCGCACTTGGATCTATAATCATTTGATTCGCAACTCCAGCTTTATTTAGTATTTCTTCCAACCTTGCAAGATTTGGCTACATTGGGCCAAATGTGGCTACTTTTTTTGGTTTGACGTAAAAAATATCATTTGGCGCTTTGACTGCTTTTTCGGCTACATATTACAGTATTTATAATTATATTAATTGAATAAAAACGCACTTTAAAATGGCGTTTCATCGCTTTTTATTAATTAGAGACCCAAATAAAACAAATATTTGTGTTTTTGAAATAAATTTTCATTTGTCTCTTTTATAATAAATGAATTTATCTATTTCTAAGTAAAAATTGAAAGTGTCTGTAGAAGTAATTTTTTAAAATATCCTTTTTCTTGATAACGTTTTAATACTTATTATTATAATCTAGACATGTTAATTTTTAAATATACTTGTATATTGCCACAAGTATATATAATATATACTTGTGGCCCAAAACTCCTTGACTTCTTCCAATGCGGCCCAGAGAAACAAAAAGGTTGGACACCCCTGGTATATATCATTAGAATGACTTATGATTGTTATCAACTAGATGACATACATGAACACGGTTGAAAGATAAACCAATCAATAATGTAAATGGAAGCATTTTCTGTTTCTGCATTTATCATTTTAATTAAATATTTTGGTAAAAAAGAAGTAATAACTTGATTTTTATTGAAATTTTTAAAAATTTTGTTTTACTTTTTTAAACTTTTATCCTGTTTCAATATTTACTTACTTTTTGTTCTATGTTAAAGTAATATTACAAGTTACAAAGAGAAATATTTGGTTGCTGTGTAAATTTATGCACATACCACATCATTTTCATTCCACTCCTTTCTTCTAGATGGAATTGTTGGCTTTGTGCATCAATATATGTTATTTCATAACATCATGTTCCAGTTATAATATATACATACATGTTGTAGTCAGGAGTATGAGTGCTATCTGTGTTTCTTTGTTACCTTTGCTGGTACCTCCATCCTTGGGACCACCCCAATTTTTCTTTGTTCCACATTGTTACAGGCAATGAGAGTGGTGCACATTTATCAGTGAAGAAACAGAAAGAGTGACTGAACTCACGACGGTAGACTACACTCCTCCAAAGCCTGAACTTCATCCACCCAAGATAATGTTATGTATGATGGTATATGGAGGGCATTATACATAATAAATTGCTTTCAAGAAATGAACTTCAGCAGCACAAATTTACATATAAACCAAATAGTTTATCAACCAAATAGTATGTTTCAGCTTCCAAGATCTTGGAACAAATTACTAAAAAGAAAACAATATGTTATTGGATTCACATTATGTGATACAATAGCATTTTTGGAACTAATATAAAGCTAGAACATGAAACTAAAAGAAAGCAAGCACTACAGAAAATTTATTTTATAAAATTTATACTTCTATGCATTTGTAGCTAGAACTATTTTAAGATGATCAATACAAAACCTTCCTCACTTATTTCTAGCCGTTTATACACGTGTACGAACATTTTCGGCCTTCTTCAGGTACACTGTGGTCTGTTAGAGCGTCGGTTACCTATGTACCTATGTAAACCTATGTAAACATTGACACCATTTAAACTTCTACCAATCGACGCTCTAACAGACCACAGTGTACCTGAAGAAGGCCTATTAAGAAGGCTGAAAATGTTCGTACTCGCGTATAAACGGCTAGAAATAAGTGAGGAAGGTTTTGTATTGATCATCATAAAATTTGTAGTTTAAATACTTACATATATATCAACCTGATATACTAGTATTATGAAATGATTGCTGGATTGTTTATTGGAGTTGTCTGATGATCTGTTTGATAAAAAACTTGGCAGACTATTTAGTTTAAATGTTGTTCAAAACAAATTTCAAAAACTATTTATATACATCTTGTCTTATAGAGACAAATTATTAAAATATTTTTAAAATTTTGTAAATTAACAGTTATATGCTTTCATAAATTTTTTTTTTTTTTTAGCTTACAGTTAGCATTGCATCTGGATTTAGAAATTCTGGAATTACATTAGGAAACAGTGGGAAAATCATGTTGGTAAGCTGATTTAAAATGTTAAATTTTAATTTTAATTACGTATAAAAGCAAAACAATTAACAGATTAAGTGGGCTACATTAACAATTTAATGTAGTCTGATTTAATCTGGTAATCATTCGGGTTTAGTATTTTTATAGTTTGGATTATTAAATATGTTAAAATCTTTATTGCATTTCAAAATGTCCAATTTGAATTCTCTGACAAAACATTGGAAATTTAGAATTGAACAATTAGAATATACATTAATAGAAAAGTTGCTTGTTGTAATGAAGATTTTAAGATGATGATGAAGATAATATCATTTGAATAGCAAAAATTAGTATTTATCTAAACCTGTGTTCAGTGCTGGCCCGAGGCAAGTTTTAGGATGGAGCGAGATCCTATTATGGCGCCCCTTTGGTTGCCCCTAATTTATACCCTTTAATTTTCTTTACCACTGAGGCACCCCCTAGGAATTAGCGCCTGGAGCGGCTGCTCCGTTCACCCTATGGTAGGGCCGGCTCTGCCTGTGTTTCTCAACTGGTGGTCGTTAGACCCCTAGGGTTCTGCGGAATTCTGCGAGAGTTTGCAGTCCACCATAGTGTGTGGGTTTTAGGGGTCCATGACACTAGAAATGTAGAGAACCACTGATCTTCAATAATCTTCTGAATAAACCACTGATCTTCACTGATATTCAATAAAAATTTCTATTAAAAAATGATTAAAAGACAGTAAAGTTGAAAAAAAATGTGAAATAATATAAATTTTAACATTAAGGAAATAATCAAAATAAATAAATAAATTAAATAAGAATTATAAAAGTTTTTAATTAAGTAAACATTTTATACAACTGATCTGAACTTAATATATATAATTGGGAATATGCATTCATAGTACATCCATAAAATTATAATTATATATAAATATTTATATATACCTTTTGAAGCCCAACCCTGACATTTCTTTGCATTGCTCTCATATCTTAGTTGTAATTTATATGAAGCCTCAAAAATTTTAAATATTTTAGGCTGTACGAAATGTCAAGGTTTGACCCTCAACAGTATTAAAAGTTATTTAATTAATCAATCAATCAATATATATTATAAAGGTAAGTGTACAATGTGTGTGTTGCTTAAACTCAAAAACAAGTCCCGGTACGATCAAGGGAGTTATATGGTGTTGTAGCCCTCTATCCCCCATCCATGAAGAAGGTTCCCGTTTTTACCTGAAGGGTGTGCTGTTGAAGATATAAGGGCTGGAAGTTTCGCCCTCTAGAAATTTCTAGAACATTCCAGAACACACTCGAATGTTGTGGAATGTTCTGGAACATTGTGGACCATTCGAAGCCTTTTTTGTATGGGTGGGACTACCCATTGGTGGGGGTATATAAAGCAAGATCCGTCGTGGGATCAAACGTCAGTTTCTTATCAGTGACGAAGGGAAGAACCAAAAAAGAAGTGAAAATTCCAAAGTAGTGCAGTGAGTGAATAAAAACAAACAGTGAAGTGTGAGTAGTCAAAGTGATACAGTGACTGAATATAAATTGAAAATAAAGTGTGAAAACTGTAAAGTGTACTTAGTGTATTTGTTAATAAAAAGTTGATTTGATTTATATTTTATACAATGCTCAAACTTAAAAGAGGAGGAGCTCTTGCCAGTTGTGAATTTTCTTTTGAATATTACCAGGAATTTTCTTTTGGATATTAAAGTTCATATTGTCGATAATATTATTTTTAGTTGTCAAAATTGCCCTTTGAAATAGCCACTCCTGATTGGTATAGTTGTGAACAGTGTTTGGATAAATTTGGTCGATGAGTTTGTTTTCAGTAGTGGCTATGCTGCAAAAATCACTATTGAGTTGAATGAGGTCGGTTGTCTGGTCAGTGGGATATGTGCCTTCGCCTATTTGTAAAAGTTTTTGAGCAAAATGTTCTTTATAAACAAGTGTTGTAAATATGTTTTCAATAAAATTTTTTTACCTCTTATATTTTAAAGTTTATCCTTTTATTCCAACTACCACACAATCTCATATCAACTCCCTGAGCGAAGCCGGGTAGCCCAGCTACTTTTCTCGTGTCGAAAGCGTCGTGTTGCCTTCGAGAAAATGTAACGGGAGACTTTCTCAGGTAGCTACGAACAACAATCGTTACGTAACTCAAACAATATTAATATTAAAGTCTACTTCAAATATAGGAATTTCTGCTACCTCACATTATTAACTATCATGATTAAATTTATGTTATAAATTTTCTAATACCTAAGTACTTTTATTTAAACAGAAATTTTTAACTTTCAGGCTGTCAGAAGTACTCATGGTTTAGAAGTTCCCCTATCCTGCAATGGAAACATGTTAGTTTCTGATCAGGTAAGTTTCAAAATCTCTTTTTTTTAGAATGAATGTAAGTAAATACGTATTTTTATATTTAAGTTTTGCAGAATATATTTATATTTTAATGCTTTACACATTGACAGAAATGCAGTTTTTATATATTTATAGTCCTTAGAAATGCTTTAATTAATGTTTTTACTTTTAGTATTTATCATATATTGTGGAGAAAGGAAATGATAAGTTATTAGAAAATGAAAAAAAAATTGAAAGGTAGGAAAAATTATATTAAAATTGTTTTTTACTATAAAAAAATTTTGAATAAATTTACTGTAATTTTAATTTAGATTTTTTTCTGGTTTGAAAACTGCTGTAAATAATATCGAAGTGACAGAGGAAGCAAGTTCCAAGCAATTTAACAAAATAAAAATTATTCCTCATTCAGAAAAACGTTTGCCCGAAGCATTCGAGGAAGAATACAAACTGGACGGTTTGTCCGAACTTTTAACACAGCACAAAATATGACATGTAAATAATAAATAAAAATAAATTAACTGTAATAAGAGTAGAAATACGCCAGCGTTTTTCTTTCCTTATTTTAATAGAATTAATGCAAAGAATTTCGAGAATAAATCATATTTCAGAGATCTTTGAGATTCAAATATATATCATATATGCTGGACCTTAAGTTGACTTTTTAAGTCTAAAATTAACTCTCTAAACTAAGGATGACTTATATGACAAATATAAAGTATGAACCATTACTATAGAGTTATAAACAAATGGTATAATGCACTTAACCAATGTCNACTCGAAAGTGTCATGTTGCCTTCGAGAAAATGTAACGGGAGACTTTCTCAGGTAGCTACGAACAACAATCGTTACGTAACTCAAACAATATTAATATTAAAGTCTACTTCAAATATAGGAATTTCTGCTACCTCACATTATTAACTATCATGATTAAATTTATGTTATAAATTTTCTAATACCTAAGTACTTTTATTTAAACAGAAATTTTTAACTTTCAGGCTGTCAGAAGTACTCATGGTTTAGAAGTTCCCCTATCCTGCAATGGAAACATGTTAGTTTCTGATCAGGTAAGTTTCAAAATCTCTTTTTTTTAGAATGAATGTAAGTAAATACGTATTTTTATATTTAAGTTTTGCAGAATATATTTATATTTTAATGCTTTACACATTGACAGAAATGCAGTTTTTATATATTTATAGTCCTTAGAAATGCTTTAATTAATGTTTTTACTTTTAGTATTTATCATATATTGTGGAGAAAGGAAATGATAAGTTATTAGAAAATGAAAAAAAAATTGAAAGGTAGGAGAAATTATATTAAAATTGTTTTTTACTATAAAAAAATTTTGAATAAATTTACTGTAATTTTAATTTAGATTTTTTTCTGGTTTGAAAACTGCTGTAAATAATATCGAAGTGACAGAGGAAGCAAGTTCCAAGCAATTTAACAAAATAAAAATTATTCCTCATTCAGAAAAACGTTTGCCCGAAGCATTCGAGGAAGAATACAAACTGGACGGTTTGTCCGAACTTTTAACACAGCACAAAATATGACATGTAAATAATAAATAAAAATAAATTAACTGTAATAAGAGTAGAAATACGCCAGCGTTTTTCTTTCCTTATTTTAATAGAATTAATGCAAAGAATTTCGAGAATAAATCATATTTCAGAGATCTTTGAGATTCAAATATATATCATATATGCTGGACCTTAAGTTGACTTTTTAAGTCTAAAATTAACTCTCTAAACTAAGGATGACTTATATGACAAATATAAAGTATGAACCATTACTATAGAGTTATAAACAAATGGTATAATGCACTTAAACAATGTCTATGCATCATTTATCATAATTAAAGCTGCCATAAATATTTCCAACTAAACTTGTGTTATATTAGAGTGTTGGAAATTCAAAATATTAATTAGTATTGGAACTTTTATTTAGAATTGAGAGATCCATACATTTTTATTTATTAATTAATAAAATTAAAAATCAGTAATGTCTTGCCCTTGTACATCATACTTTTCCTGTTAGCAATCGTGTCGTGCCGGCCATCTAAAGTCCTTTCAGGAAAAAATTTTGAATTGAAATAATATTACTTCCGATTCGTAATGGAAGTTAGTTTATAGTTAGTCGGGGCCTCCTGCTCCTAAGCTTTCCCGTCTTTTATCTATCTAACTCCGTTCTCAATACTAAGGAAGGACAGACAGACAAAACGACAATAGGTCTACGATTTTTGCAAATTGCAGTCCAAGTAGCTTTACAGCATTGATTAGCACAGTTTTAAATTGTGATAGGATTCCTCTGGAGACTAAGCTTCCCTACGTATGAAACGATGTCTCCAATTGATATCCTTGACCTTAGAAACAACCCCACTAGGTCCTCTTATCTGGGTTCAAGCTTCATCCGAACAGATCCCTACTGGTATCTACTGGCTCCATTTTTTCTCACCGGATACTAGTGGGAAAAGGTGTTAACCTCCAGCATACATAGGCTCTTTCGGGCTTATAAACACGAGAACCACCTTTCGTTATGAGAAAAAGAACAGTTAATCTTTTATGTGACATTGGAATCAAAATTCAATTCTGGATCTCGCCTTCAGTGAAAAGTGAATTTCCCGAATTATCTGAAGAAGTATCGAAAGTATGCAGATTTTAACAACCAGTCTTTATTAGGATATTCACGTTTAGTAATTTTCTTCAAATTTAATTACGTTTCCAAAATATGCTTTTAGATTTATCGTGTTATAAATGGCACAGTAATGGCACTGCTATTCCTTACTTGTCAATCGACTTCGAATTCGAGTCGACTTAGAAAATTTCGTGGGTAAGTTGATCCGGATATGTTGGGCCTCCCTGCCATCACCATGGTGGGATTACATCGTGATGAGGACAGAAAACGGCCTCTTGGCGTCTTGAAAGCTAAAAAAAATATTAGTACTATTTACAAAGGGGAGTGATTTTATGTTTTCTAAAAAGACAACACAGAAATTTTAAAATGTTTATTTTAAATTTAACTCGATCAAAGTAACTAATTAGGCTATAATAATGTATTTACCAAATTTAATGTACCAAATTAACACGAAATTAATGTATTTAAGAATTATTTATAAATGAATTTTGTCTTCGGTTATGTGCGCTTCTACTCCGAAATGTCATCCGTGTCTACGAGTTCCACGAAATGAGTAAACTTTTCTTTTTCGCCACAAAAATTTCTTCTAGAAGTAAAATTCTCGACTTCGTCTATTGTAATTTCTGTATTTTTTCTTCTTACTGAACAATTCTGTTTATTATTCTTGGAGACAGAATATTTGTTTCGATGTCGTGAATCAATTTGTTCTTTCACCAAATCTTTTTCCTCGATTAGATTTTCGCTTATTTTGTCCAAAATTACGCGATTCTCCGTTGTAAATTTCTCGGATTCTTTGCCAGTCGGTCTACTTAAGACGATATAATTTGTGTTAAAATAATCTTNATTTCTAATTCTTTGCTTTGTAATGGTTTCGGAAATCGGGTCGGTCTGACGAGCCAGTCCAATCCTTCAATTTTTGACTTACTTTGAGGAATATACACACCACTGTATTTTTTAAACTGTGGTGAAGACATCACACTGTTTAAATCTTCGTCGTAAGCAACCCGTTTCTCAATTGAAGAACCGAGGATCAACGAGTTTGCTTCAATCATGGGTTTCTCTTTTAGACTTATCCTGGAGTTCTGCCCCACAGGAGCATACATTAAAATAAATAACGGTAAAATCGCCATTAATATATCGCTTCTACTCGTCGTTTATATCGACGATTCCGACTTGAAATCACTTTAAGAATTATTCACTTTCGTAAATATTGTTAGGAAATACTAACATTGTTCGCATTATTGAAATCGCAACAATACAATCATTTACGAAACTTTGTGTCTATATTACTATTTTTTATGATTCATTTACATTATGTTAATGACATTATGTAATATCATATCATACGTATTTTGGGGTAATAACATTTTGGTGTGCCGTGTTGAGTCACGATGTGCCGCAAATAGAAAAAGATTGCGGAACACTGGTCTAACGAACATTGGCTCCTTTTTTTTTAATGGAAAGACTATTGTAGCAATATGGAAACACTTTCATGCTTTCACAAGAAGAGCTTAGCTTAGAGATGCACTCGGAACAAACCCGATGACTTTCTTTCTACTAAGAAGACAAAATCTTAAAAAGGACTATCAATAGACTGCTGCAAAGAAAGTTATATATTGATACAATAAAACGAAAATAATTCACCCGTTTTCTTTTTAAATACAGTATAACATGTGTAAGGCCGTATGGGCGAGGAGGAGGTTAAGTCGCTCTGGGAAACCCGGAATCGAATCCGAGCGAATCACTTCCCGGGAATATTTCGTGGGCGGTATTTCGGAGAAAAGGCGTTCAGGCTAGAATCTACATATAAACGGGATTAAAGAAGAAGAAGAAGAAGAAGTGGACGGTACTACCCGAACGCAGCGGCCGGATGGCCGAGCGGTCAAGGTGGCAGCCCACTGTTCTGGGGGACCCGTGTTCGAGTCCAAACGGGTCGAAAAAATCCCCAGGAATTTTTTGGGGGGGTGGTCCGTTCAGATATATCGGGCCCCGTCCCTCACCACCCGTCAGCCCCATTGTGGGCCTGGCCGAACCCATAATGGGCTTGCAAAAAAGAGGCCCTCTTAGTGCCCACAGGGCGGAAAGAGTTAAAAAAACTACCCGAACGTACCCCATACCGTCTCATTACGGGCCTACGATGCATCTGGAAAGAAAGCACTCCATAGGGCGGAAAGTGTCAAAAAAACAAACAATAAAAAATTTATAATTAGAAATTTTATATTAATAAATCTAAAATAAATTTTAATGTTTATAATTAGTAAGAAAATTCATAGCATTCTCGGTATAATTATGTAAAATTTATTTAAAGAATTTTAACCTAGACAATCTGGCAACACTTCGCCGTATTCTTTCTTTTAGAAAATGGCGGCCGTCATGGTTAGACGATTTAGAACCTCTCCCAACATTTTCTGTTTACTCAGAAGGTAAGTTCTAACATTTGTTATCTTCTTACGTAATTTTTTTTATAGGATTCTCATTATTATTTTAAATGAATTAATAAAAAATATGGATTACGAAATCAACAGTTACGACATTTTTTTTTAACATGTAGCTATAAACAACAACTTTCCACGTGATCATTTGGTGCTAATTACCAGTTAAATATATGTATAAATTAATATTTTAAAATATTAGTTATGGTATAAATATTTATTTTAAATGAATTAGTGTATTACATTTAAGTGAAAATGAATAATTGTTATAATTAATATCTGTGTCTTTGCATTCTTTAAAAGATTTCTTTGCTGAACGTGTGGACCTTTAAAGATTTGTCTGCAATATAAATGTATATTATGTATGCTTATATTGCAGACATGGTTACACTTCCCATGCTTTATATGGTTACACCCCATGTTTATATGTATATAAGCATGGGGCAAATGGGACACACAGCTTAATTGGCAAACTTTTTTGATTTTGGACCCCCTATAATTTTTTAAAACCTCGCATCAACCACCACCAAAAAGTTTGTGTTACAAGCAAAACAAAGTACAGGTAACCCCCGTATAACACGGTACTTCTATAGCACAGATTCACTCTAACATGGTTCGAGGATTGGGAACATCCCCATATAACATGGGGCTTTTATAGCACGGGTTCACTCTAACACAGTTTGGGAATTGGGTAAAACCTTCGTACAACATGAAATGTAATAAAGGTGCATTCTTTTAAACCTCTGCGTAACTCCGTGCGAGCATTCTAATTGTTTTCATGGTTACTTTGAATGCTCTTTCAACAAATAATCCATTTAATGGTTAAATTTTACAATTGGGACCCTTCTTTTGCCTCTAAAAGCTCATTTTAGAATTATAGATTCCTCCGTTGTGATACTATCGATAGTGCGGGCACCGCCATCTTTCTTTCGCCGTAGTTCCTAAATGCCTACAAACAGCAGTGCACTCCCGTTGCAGAGCGACTGCTATTAACGAACGCACCCAAAAACTTACCAGTTGATGATGATCATGCTAAGATCATCATATGGGATGAATAATTCTCTGGTAAAATATTTACTTAAATAATAAATAAGTATTTTATCTATGAAAAAAATGAATAATAAATCCGATTTAAATAAGGATTTAATGGCATGTTTTTTAATTTTTGGAACCTAATCCCTCTTTTCACACTAGTTCTTTGTTTCGTATAACACGGATTCGCATAACACGGCAATTTTTTGGAATGTAACTCCCGTGTTATAGGGGGTTACCTGTACTTACTGCTTTAATACATTTCTTTTAATTTTGCATTTTTTTTCATTTATTGTATATTTGTTAATAATAATTTTTGTAACTGACAATCAGTGAGACCGGGACAGAAATAAAGAAATG